AGGTAAGGTTGTATTTGGATTGGGATGATTGGGGATGGTCACCAACAACTGAACATGGATTGACAAACATTCGTGCTGAGAGGCGCACATGCCTCTATCGAGAAAGCCATGGCCATTCCCAGGAGACGCGCCACTTCATTTTTCAGGATGCCCAAGCAGGGTTCAGCGTGTTGCGACACCAAGCAAAACACACATACACACATACAAGAAGCAGCACAACGCGCAAGAGACTTGCCAGATGCATTGTTGCGAAAGACCATTTTTCTTTCGATGCACAGGCGCTCTGACGCGAGCAGGCAGTCAGCCGGAAGCCGAAGGAGAGAGCTGCAAGCAGACCACATTAGACCGCACGGCTGTGGGTGTGAAGGCCCTTTGCTTCATAGTGGCCACCTGGCATTAAGCGAAGCCGCTTCATAATTGATGAAGGTTCTATCTCTCTCGAAGAATGGGGTTACATTTCAAGGTAGCCTTTGATTTGCACGACGATTTTGATTTATCCCAAGTTGGCAAAGGGTGCCACACTTTCAACATGGAACCCGCTACAACGCAGGCATCATTGAAGTGCTTCATCGGGTTCCATGGTGGCGGGTGAAGGATAGGCTATCCAAGGTCCCTGGCATTCTCAGCAAATCCAATACGGCAGTCAGCTGACACATGTTGTGAAATATAGCATCATATGAAATTTATATACTACAAATATAATCAAGCATATAATACACAGATGTGATACACACAATATATATATATATATATATTATACACAGTGCTCTGTATATGTATATGGGGGCCGTCCGTAATTGCGTGTCTAAAACTTATGAACAGAGGTAACTTGTTGAGTCGCGCGATTGGGAAAACTCGAGCCGCGGTTGGCCAGCGATTGGAGCGCGAAAGGGAAACGAATTCATCGTGAATTTGGAAGTTGCGTGGCATCTACTACTACTACTACTACTACTACTACTAGTACTACTACTAGTCCTGCTACTACTACTACTACTACTACTACTACTGATACTACTATTCTTATTACTTCCATTACTACTGCTACTGCTACTTGCTACTGCTACTGCTACTGCTACTGCTACTGCTACCACTACTACCACCACTACTGGTACTCTTTTACTACTATCACGACGACCGCCATTCGTTTAGTACAAGAGTTTAAATTGCCAGGAATCCTACCAGCATGTCTGGTTTTGCTACTACTTTCATTATTGCCACGAACTTGTGGTAATGACTGAGTAAGCAGCAGTTGCCGGGTGCAGCTTGAGTATTCTGTTGTGGTACGCCAAGTAGCATGCAAAACACACGCGCGAGTGCGGACCGCTCGCGCGCGGAACCCGAGCGCGCGGAACCCGCAGGCGCGGAACCCGCGCGCGCGGAACCCGCGGCCGCGTAGAATTCGCGTAGTGCCTATTTCACGCTTCTATCTTCTCACGGGCGCTGCCCACAAAAGGATACAACATCTCTGAAGCATCCCAGTTGTGTTGTTGCTTGCGCCGCTCAGGAGCAGAGGTTTGAGGGTAGGAGGGGTTGAGGCTTTTAGGAGTAGAGGTTTGAGGGCTGAGGGTAGGAGGAGGTGAGGCTTTCAGTGGTAGATGTTTGAGGGTTGAGGGTAGGAGGGGTTGAGGCTTTAGGGGCCCAAGAGGCTTTCAGGATTTGAGGTTGAGGGTTTGAGGGGTTGAGGTTTGAGGGGGGGTGCCCCTTTTTGTTTCTGAGGGTTAGGAAACGTTGCTTTAGGATTTGTGTAGGTGGGGCAGATGAGACATGTAGGATTTGAGGGTTGAAGGGTAGTTTGGCATGGGGGGGGTTCCCCTTTTGGTGGGGTTGAAACTTTTTGGTTTTCTTGGGGTTGAGGGTTGATGGGGGCTTGAGGGTTGAGGCCAGGAGGGGTAGGAGGAGTTGAGGCTTTCATGAGTACAGGTAGGAGGAGTTGAGGCTTTCAGGATTCTTGAGGGTTGAGGGTAGGAGGGGTTGAGGCTTTCAGGGTTGAGGGTAGGAGTTGAGGCTTTCATGAGTAGAGGTTTGAGGGTAGGAGGGGTTGAGGCTTTTAGGAGTAGAAGCTTGAGGGTTGAGGGTAGGAGGAGGTGAGGCTTTCAGTGGTAGATGTTTGAGGGTTGAGGGTAATTAGGAGGGGTTGAGGCTTTAGGGGCCCAAGAGGCTTTCAGGATTTGAGGGTTGAGGGCTTGAGGGTCTTTTTTGTTTCTGGGTTACCCAAGAGCTTGGTATGAGTGAGGAGGCCATGGCAGCAGAAGAAACTCCGTTTGCCACTGCTTACAGCCTTTCTTTGGCTAGTGGGGAATTGACCCCTCATGGAGGACATGTTGCGTTTTCGAATGACCTGACACGCCCGGCGGAGATTGATGATACTTTCTTGATTATGCGGACTTGGTCTACTCCGCGGGGGCGGACATGCATGTCGTCAAGGCTGTTTTTGCTCAGGCACCTGCTTCGAGATGGTTTGAAAGACAGCGAGCCACGACTCTGAAGCAGGTTTATGGTGGCCAACAAGTTGCTGAGGCGGAGGAAAAAATGGAGCCACATGAAAGACTTTGCTGCAGACAGCAATGAGTCCAGTTCCTCGAGCAGCACTTCTACCACATCAGATTCTGTGGACTCATAGGATCGAGCAAGTTGCAGCGGCGAGAAGCGCAAAAGAAGGCGGCTATGCCCAATGTTGCTCCGCGATTGGGAACTGTGGGACCGCGATTGGACCGCGGTTGGCCGGCGATTGGGAGGTTCCCAGGCAAAGTAATTTTGTACAACCCCCATATATATATTATATATATACATATATTCTGGCATATATACATATATAGGCATACTGTGTACATGTATATATATATACAGGTGTATATGTGTATGTATATATATTGACATGTTATATACACACAGAATACACATCTACACCTACAGCGCTATAAGCTGACCAGGAGCGCGGCCTCCCTGGCGGGCTCCTCCATCGCCTCCTCGGCCTTCTCTGCACCGCCCAGCGGCTACATGCGCCAGATCCGGACGCCCAACGGGATGCGCCCCGCGCGCAGTTGGGGCGGGGAGGGGGGGGGGGTGGGCCCATGGATTGAGTGGATCTGGATCTGAGTGGATCTGAGTGGATCTGAGTGGCTGGATTTAGTGGATTTGGGTGGATTTGAGCAGATCTGAGTGGCTTGGGGAGAGCTTTGGGGCTTTGGGCCTTTGGATTTGTAGGCCTTTGGGGCTGGGTTTGGGAAGCGCTTCGACTTGAGATGGTTTGTGTTGCTTGCGGGCAGCCGCGGGAGCCGTGCGTGGGGCGAGTTGCATCACGGTGAGTTCATTGTTTGGCCGGTCCAGCTTTGTCTTGAGGTTGGCAGGACATCAAAGGCCAACAGAAAAGTGAGTGGAGAGGTCAGCTTTGAAGCAGGCTGAGATGAGCAGTCGCCAGTCAAATTGAGTTGGATCTCATGTTTCTTCTGGGTTTGGAAAGCGAGCACTCTTGGGCCTTTGCTGAGGTATCAGACGTTGCTTGGCTGCACATGGGCATGCTCTTCCTTGGTTGCCAATTTGTGGCAGTCACAGACAGGCCGACGAGCAAGGAGTAACCACAAAGAGGAGCTAGTTCTCAGATATCAAAGCGGTGTTGTTGGTTTGGGGGCGCAACTTGCTTCAGCAGGTAATGAGGGAGACCCGTAGGGATCCTCATCCGGTTGAGTCAACCAAAACCAAAAGTCGATTCCTTCCGAAGCAACAAGACAGAAGGAGCTGAGTTTCCCTTTGGAGGGCACTTCTTTGCAGATTTGTTCCTTGCCGACTGCTGACAAAGGCAGCACTGCCTCAGCCCTCCACCCCTCGCAGCGCGAGGTCCAATGCCACCTTCGGCGCGGGGGGGCATGTGGGGCCGGAGCCGAAGCCCGGGAGGGAGGCCTGGATGCTGGGCCGAGGCGGGCCCCGGGGCCCGGGTTTCGAGCGTGAGGCACGTGTGGCAAGGAATTCGAAGGCCGGAAGCAAACACGGAAGCAAGATGAAGCAAACACAACAACCTTTTGGTGGTTGTTGAAGGGATGACTTTGACGGCGCGATCACAGCCGGTGCCATCACAGCAAGTACTTTAGTCATCATCTTTGCAACTTGTTGCAAACCCCACATTGACATGCGAACACTCAGTGTGATGCCCCTTCTAAGCTGGATGCTGATATCGCAAGTTGACTTTGTCTTTTTTCAATCAGCAAAAAAGGTGAGTAGCAGCTGTCCAGACATGCCAAGGCAGACTTCTTCATTGACCAGTGGGTGTGTGAGGTGGTGGCGTAGAGATTATGAAGGTGGTTGTTATGGTGATGATGATGATGATGATGATGATGATGATGATGATGATGGTGATGATGATGATGATGATGATGATGATGATGATGATGATGATGATGATGATGATGATGATGATGCTGCTGATGCTGATGCTGATGCTGATGCTGATGCTGATGCTGATGCTGATGCTGATGCTGCTGTTGATGATGATGCTGATTCTGATGCTGATGCTGCTGATGCTGCTGTTAATGATGATGATGCTGATGCTGATGCTGACGCGGATTCTGATGCTGATGCTGCTGCTTCTGTTGATGATGATGATGATGATGATGATGCTGATAATACTGATGATACTGAGGATGCGGATGCTGATGCTGATGCTGATGGTGTTGGTGATGGTGATGATGATGATGATGATGCTGATGATGATGCTGATGCTGATGCTGATGCTGATTCTGATGCTTCTGATGCTTCTGATGCTTCTGATGCCGACGCTGATGCTGATGCTAATGCTGATGCTGATGCTGACGATGAGGATGATGATGATGATGATGATGATGATGATGATGATGATGATGATGATGATGATGATGATGCTTCAAGATGAGTCAGGGTATGTCAAACAGTTCTTTGCATTGCACGTAGGCATGTCCAGGTGTTCGTTTCTCAACGTATCAGGAAGTTTCGCCTAGGTGCCTCCCTATGGAAGCAACATATATGTTCATACATATATATATATATATATATATCCCGGCAATTGACCCCAGCATCAGTATTTCAAGCATTCTGCTGACCAGCTTCCCAAGATAATAGGCTACTACAACATGCCATGAAACTGGCGGAGGTGGTGGTCAGCAGTCCTCCTTTGACAACTGCTTGGTCTTCAAAGGCAAGTGGGCAGCATCGGCCGGTTTTCGCTTGACTCAGCTGACTTCGCTTACTGTACTCACCTCTAGACATACTCTGCGGGCAAGATGTCATCCAACTGGCTTGCCACCTCAGTGCTGGGTCCTCGGCATTGGGGTCGTCGTTTGGTGTCTGACAACTGTGAAGGCACAGACACCCTTGGCACAGGCACCATGCATCCCACAGATTGAAAAAAAAGTCAGGGTTGGGGTCAAACAGCATCATCTTGTTGCCCACACAGCGCTCAACAATCAAGAAGTACTCTTGTGTCTTTCTTGTAGACTGGGTGACCTTCCAAAGTCCCACATTGAACACATCGCTGGTGCAGGCAGCCAAGTGCCATGGTGCGACCAAAGCAGGTGAATGCTGAGGACCGGCGTCAAATTTGAGTTTCCAGGCGATTGCTGGAGTACGAGAAGGGGGTCATGACCACATGTTCGGTTGGATTGTGTCGTGTTTTGCCCAAGCTTATTCATTGGTGTAGATTTGAATTCTGAGAGCAGTCAAAGGGGGCAAAAGGCAGGACGCTCTACAACAAACACCTCACATCTTTGGGTGCACCCTTGTTTCTTTTCCTCCCCGTAGTCATGGGGCAATTTGCGAAGAACTGCAGCCAGCAGCCACCATGTTGCTTGTTTTCCGTCCATACAAATCAGCGGTCCGAACCCCGTGGCAGTGCAAATTTGCACGCCCGCGGCAACACGGCCCAAAGGGCCATGCACGTAGGTCTCACCTTCGCTGGGCAATTGGAATCCGGCGAAACGTGAAAAACGAAACTGGAGCGCCTGCAATCTCCATCCTGCATGGCTAGCGGTTTGGGGTGTCGCGAAGCACCACCAGTGTCCGGGCATGCAAGACCATCTTCCGGTAGCAACGCACCAACCGCAGCTTGTGAGAGGAATAGTGCCCCAGCGCATGAACAAGGGAAATGACATGCTTGGACAACTCAGCTGCAAAGGAGGGACGCACAGCATACTTAGAGACATCACGCCACCGACTCAAAGCAAGAGCACACGCTAGCTTAGATCAAGCCCAAGCAGTGCTTGAGGCTGAAGAATCACAAAGCAGAGGTCAACGCCATTCCGCGCGCGCTCTGAGATGTACAACATCACTGCACAGAGGCAGATCGCCCGGAGAGAGTTGAAAGAGGGCCTCGACGGAAACAAGTCCTGGCACCATCAGTACAAGGACTCTGCGTACATCTATGTTGGAGGTGCCTTGCAAAGAAGCAAGCATGTCGGTCTGAGAGTTCAGGCCCAAACCGGTGAAAATCCGGTAAAAAAGGCATCTTTGTACACTTCAGTTAGCAAGCTAGGCTGGTGATAAGAATCCGCCATAATTTCCCTAGGAAGAATGGATCAAATCTCCAGACCCGTTTTGGTCACTTTGAAGCTCTGAAAGGATACCCGCAACAACTCCAGCGGAACCCATTGGATGGGTTCCAAATGGCACTGGTGACTATGAGCCTGTGCCGCCGCCCCACCCCCCGCGCCTTCCCGCGCCCATGAGGTTTGCATGAAGGCCTCACGGAGGGCGACATCGTGGTGGTCTTCTCCCAGTTCGGGGAGGTGGTGGACTGCCACCTGGTCCGCGACAGGACCACCGGCAAGTCCAAGGCGGGGGCCTGAGGTGTCCTGTGCTGGCCTCGGTGCGCGTTTACTTGGATTGGTTGGAGTATTTTGACCTATTCGTCCCAGGCGGACAAAAACAAGCAAGAACCACACACGCACGCATTGGAATTCTAAGATCCTAAGGGGGGCATGGGGCACCTCAATTCTTGAGTCTCGTGGCAGAAATATCTAGGTCGGGATCTAGGTACCGGGCGGGAAGGTGACCGTTGCTTCAGAAGAGCCCAGAGGGTACAGATGTGAAGAGCCCAGAGGATACAGATGTGAGCAGGCAGCTTCGATTGGGAAAGATACGCGGAACGCAGATACCACCGAACAGCTCGGAATCAGGGCAATATTTGAAAGCAGCCCAAGGCTTGAAAGCCCACGAGCCGCGCATCAAAGGACATTGCACCATGTTTGCCCGCTGGTGAGGCCGCAGCTGGTGCTAAGTTCATTGTATTCAGGAAGGATGTCCAATTTTGTGGCGCTTTTTTGTGGGCTCAGCGGTGTGATGAGCAACCAGTACCAACGAGGCACACGCCCACGTAACTATATAATCATAAGCCAAGAACGACCATGACCAACTAACGACCGAGACAATGGGGCGACTTCCCACACTTCCCAGTGACCCAAGTTGAAAATCTTTCAGCCTCCTGAAATCCACTGTTGCCAGGGCTTTGCCTTCGTGTGCTACGACGACCAGCGCAGCACCGTGTTGGCTGTGGACAACATGAACGGCTTCTCGCTGCTGAAGCGGACCATGCGCGTGGACCACGTGGACAAGTACAAGGCCCCCAAGCAGTTCGACGAGAACAACCTGGACGAGAACGGGGACCCCAAGCTCATTCCGTATCAAGCCTCGGGGGCGGAAGGCCAGGGGTACCAGGCCTGGGAGTTTTTTGTTGTTTTTTTCCACTGACACGCGCGAAGCAAGTGGTCAACGCGGGGTTCATGTGCAAACAGTTCATGGAGGTGTTGAAGGACCGGCCATGGCAGCCACAGGTTTCACGTGGTTTCACTAGTCGGCACAGGTGTACAACGTCCTGGAGAGCCAGAAGAAGATCGTGGCATCGATGGATGCGCGGAAGAAGCACATCGAGGATCGGAAAGCCAAGGAGGCGCCGGAGGACGAGGACGAAGCCTGGGCCAGGTCCTTTGAGGAGAATCTCCAGGATATCAAAGAGGATGAGAAGGAGAGGAAGAGGCCTTTTGGGGAAAGCCGAATTACCCTCCCACCAGCTAACTTGGAAGTGCACAGACCCCTGTAGAAAGACTACATTCCTCTTGGAAAGGGCCTTTTTGCACTTTCATGTTGGTTGGTCGGAGAGCGCTTGGTTCAACCAGTTGGTGCTCCACCTTTTTGGGTAGCGATAGGGGGCTAAAGGATGTGCAGTCTCCACATCCTTGCCGTTGCATGTTTCAGACCTGGGGAGGGCTTGAGGCAAGCAGAGGTGCAAGACTCTTCGGGACGCGCCCCGAAAGAAAGCTCACGTCACAGATCCCTCCGCTTGCCGAGCTCCCACGCTACGTATTTTGTAGACAATGTGTCGTTGCTGTCGTCATCACGGCAATCCCCGGTTCTCCCCCAGATTTCGTTCCTGAAGAGGCCAGGAGCTCCTGACTCAGACACGACGGAAGCCCGCAAACAAAAGCGGTTGGTGGAACCCAATGAAGCAGTTTTTGCAAAGAATGTCTGCGTAAAGATTGGCTGGACTCCGAAGGAAGTAGGATTAGTATGGTGCCAGTCCTTCAGAAGCAATGCATCCGGCTAAGCTAGGACCTGAGCAAAACCTGCATGACAGAGAAAAAGCAGGAAGCTCCAAGTCAGCTAGCCGAGTTGAACACCTTGGTGCATTGAGAGACGTCCATAAATCAGGCGACTCACAAGCGTTGAAATAATAAATGACTGCCGTGGCTGCAATGCCTGCCAAGGCTTGATTTTTATAGGTAAAGGGAACCAAGGCCGCTGTGCACCCCCTGGCGTCTCAATTCTCAGAAGCACGGCCACATGGGGTTTTCCGCCGTTTCATGTGCACCCGCTTGCCCTCTCATCAACCTGTTGCCGTGCTTGCCAACATCCAACGAGGGCCCGCAAAGACTTCCCCTGACGAGTGGCTTCTTTTGTACACTGCCAATGCTTTGGGACAGCCTAGCACATGAACCAAGTGAGAGCCGCAAGCGCTTGCGCTGCTTAGACTACCTTTGCAAGTCTGGCTGGTTGACACGCCTTCTCACATTTTCACTCGCCAAACCAAGCACCCAAATAGTGGCATCCGTTGCTGGCTCTGCAAACAAAGCAGTTGCCCTTTATCAAGTGCTTCCCGCGCCCCTCGATTGGGTTCCGCCATGAAAGTCATGGCAAGAGGCTAAGTCATTGCTAAATGGCATGTTTGGGTTTGAACCTTTGGTGCTTCTGTGCCAGCTCTCCCAGGGTTTCTGGGCAGCCAATAGAGGCAGAAGAAACTGAAGAAAGACAAGAAGGAGTTGAAGCGCATGAAGAAGGAGGCCAAGCAGCTCAAGAAACAGGCAAAGAAGGTCAAGAAGGAGGCCAAGCGCAAGGCTCGTTCCACTCTGGTTATGGGGTTTGGAGCGTCCTTCTGAGGCTCGCAAAACAAAAACCTGCAGGCTGATGACAAAGTGAAGAAAGAGGTCAAGAAGGAGCCCAAGAAGGAGCCCAAGAAAGAGACCAAGAAAGCAAAGAGCGAAAGCAGTGACGACTCGGATTCCGAAAGCAGCTGAAAAGAGGTGAGCATGAGCGCACAACTGGTCATCTCGGCTTCTGCTTGAGCGCCAGACTGCTTCCGTTCGAAGCATTGGCTCATGTTTTGGCATGACGGCTGTCATTTGGCGTGTTCATCCGTCTCATGCATGCGCAAGTTAGCAATATGCATGAACGCAATGCCTTTAAATACAATCACATTATTTGCATGATGCTTGATTTGTTTGAATCATTGGTGTTGGTGTACGCGATGTTTCTTGACATGTTGAGTCAATGTTGCGACAGATTGCACAATGATACACATGATTATGGCTGGTTTGAGCTGAAATTGTGGCCCGTGTGTTGTCATGGGACAAGTTTGTCCAAAGGTTGCTGCACTTCACATACATGTAAGCCTGCTAAGCTTACTATTTATTTGTATGTGGTTTACCTGCAGTCACATTCAATGTTGATGACTCCGAAATGTTTGAATGTCAACTACCATTGCCAATTGTTGCTTTCACACCGAGCAAGCAGCTTCATACCTGCAGAGCTTGCATGCCACGCAGGGCCCACAAGTTGTGTGATGTTGCCGCCGGCGCGTCTTGTGCCAGAGCCCAATGAAATATTGACACACCGAAAGGCTTTACTGTGATAGACCATGTTTGATTTTCCGATTTGCTGTTGGGCCAAAGCTGCGTATGGGTACGAAACGGGGATGATTCTGGTGCTGCAGCATTCACTAGTTTGGCGCAAACCACACAACTGCATGCAACGTCCTGCTGGATGTAGTTTCAAGCACGCATGTCCGTTGCCATTTGAATCGCATGCCAGCCGGCTGGCTACACAAACATGCGAAAAAATGGGACATCCCCGAATTGCTTTGCACAACTATTCCTCACGCCGAAACATGCGAATGCCTTTGGAGTTGACCCCGCTACATGCAAACTACGCGAGTGCTTGACATCAACGATTGCAATGCTGAAGCAGCCATGTGGTGAAGACGGCAAGCGAGTCTCGAGACCGATTGCTCGTCTGCCAGTGGCAGCCGTGATTTGTCTGGCAGCGGTTGCTTTTCAAAGCAGCTTCTTTGGCGTGGCCAGCGCCTTGGCTGCTCTTTGCTTTGACCTTGCAACTCCTCAACATCCATCCACCTTTTGGAATATGCCATGTTCCTAACACATTTGAGTTTGACGTTTCAGCTGCTGTCAGGTACCGCTGCCATCAAATCCGCGTCAGCGCAGCTGGCGAGGGAGGCCAATGAGAGCGCGGGCCGGGTGTGGCTGGCGCCTTTGGAGGCGGAGCTATGGGTGAAGCGCCTCCAGAGGCGCCGCCTCATCCTCATTTTGAACCAGTTCACGGAGGCACGGAGAACAAGATCAACCGCGTCGCCCGAGAAAAGCAAGACAGAAAGAAAGCAAGCGACCCCTCCCCGTCAAAAAAGGACAAACACTTTTACAAATACTTCTTTTTTTTAGATGGGCAGTGACCAGCTTTGTTTCAACAGCTGAAAGCTATGGGGTCGATGGGCCCAAAGAAGGTCGGGCTTCGGAGCAGCTTTGGGGGCGGGGGGGGGGGGAGTTACGGTTCCACCTGGGCTTATTGTTTGAGGGGCTAAATTTAGGAGGAAAAGGGGACCCTCGCAGGGGTCGTTTCTCTTTGGGAGGGAAAGATGGAAAGTGCAGAAACGCATACACCAGCCAAGTAATTCTGGAACTTCCTGGAAGGGGTGTTTGTTTGCCAATCCTTGAAGCTAGCAAACAGTTGTATAATTTTTGCCACGCAATTCGGGATCAGCTCCCCTTTGATCTCCGAGCATTCTGTGATCCTGCTTCCTGACCAACAGCGCCTTTTCGGAAATCCCTATCTCTTGACCCCCCCCCAAACAACAAAAGAAACGCCATCCCCATCTTTTGAACCCCCGCCCCCCCAAACAACCAAAGAATCTTTAGGCTCGTTTTGTTTTTTGGTAAGACGCCCTCAGAAGGATCCCATGCCGTCTCCCATGCCTCCTGCCTCCGAACGGATCTCTTGGCTCGTTGCTTCGCTCCTCTCGTTCCCCGCTTTGCCCCGCGGCCGCTTGGGGCCGGGAGGCGCGGAAGTACACGCGGCTGGCCAAGGAGTTGGAGCACCAGGGCTACGACGGGAGCCGCTTGGTGGGCGCCCAGGGGGTGGAGGACTCCAGCAAGGCGCCCCCGGAGCTCGGGCAGCTGCTGGCACTGGAGGAGACATGTGGCTGTGGTCAAAATGAAGACGCCAAAAAAGGAACCACTTTCTGTCAATGTTTCCATTTACCAGGGCAACCCATGTTGGGTACCTATGTGGCTGTGGTTGTCAAAATCGTTTTGGGATCCCATGTTGGTGGGTAGGTGAATTCACCACCCATTTTAGAACCTATTTTAGTGGTTGGATTGGGATGTTCGCTGGGGGTACGGGCTTTTGACCCATGGCCATATTTTGGGGCCGAACGGGATGGAGGTTGATGGTTTGGAGGGGTTGGCGTCTGGGGATTGGGGAGAGGTTGGGGTTCCTATAGAAAAGCATATTCAGAAACCCAGCGTAGGTATGTTTGATAGAAATCAAGGCTTTTTCAGGAGTGGGACGTTTGTGCAAATGGGTCTGGCAAATGACTCTTCCAGTCAGAGACTGCTGGGACCAAAAATACAAAAGAAGCAATGAACAGGGACCCTACCAAAAGCCAGCCAGTCGCCACCGGTTTGCCTGCGGCCCATGTTCAACTTACACCCAAATCTTCGAATCCGCCGTTTTCTCATATGATGTGGCCTAGCTTCACATGTTGAAACTTCAGCCTCGGCCCTCTGCCCGACTCGGCCCGCTTTGCACGCGCCGAGCGCCGCGAGGACCGCATCCGGCGCCTGCGGCACCTGCGCCGCATCGCCAAGGCCCGGCTCGCCGCGGCGAGGAGCGAGCAGCGCCTGGCGGTGCTGCGCCAAGGCGAGGCTTCGGCCGAGCCGACGGCCGCAGCCCGATGGCGCGAAGGGAGTCGCAAGATGGTGGTTGTCCAAAATAGGGGAACCCCGAAATGGGTTGCCCTGGTAAATGGAACCAAGGACCAAAACCTGCGGTTTTCTAGTGGTTTAGTTTTAACCCATACCCAGATGAAGCCCCAAGGGTTTTGTGAAAAAGATTTCAGGGTTCAAGCATATATATTTTTTGATTTTGAGGTTGATGCAAAGCCCATGGTTCGCCAGTTATGCCGCATAAGTTATGCCTGTCAGAGATTGTTTGTGCTGTTGCCAAGACTTGTATGGGAAATCCATGTATTCGGATTAGTATTCCCATTTTCCTGGAGCTTCCGACAGTGTGTGCCCAAGAGACCCGGAAGGGCGGCGGAAGATATATGCCGGGGCCAAGGCCAGTGAAGTACGGGTGTGTCTATGTGTGTCGCAAAACAGGTCCCAGTTCCAAGGCAACAAACGGAAACAGCGGAAGCCGCAAAGAAGCAACACGAAAGCCCCCGCGGAACACGCGTTTTGTCCAAGCCCCCCTTTCCCCGTTTCAGCCTTTCACAACGAAGTGGTCATGTCGAAGCTGCCCGAACTCCGATGGCTTGAGGGCTCCGGAAAAAGCTCCTCGCCAGGTTGCAACAGCGACCGAAATTCATGAACGAAAACCCGCAGAAAGTTGTGCTTCAGATGTCCAATCGCGAAAGGTTAGCGGAAGGGCGGCGGAAGGGCGGTTTTCAGGAGAAGCAGTTTTGAACCCTGACTCCTGTGGTCCACTCTTGGACCGGAGACTTGCAGGTTATCATGTATCGTCGCATGGGAACACTGGACTGAGACTTGATGGCCATGCGCCTTGCCCTCCAGGCCCCGCTAAGCGGGCCGTGCTGGCGCTGGCGGACGTCACGTTGGGCACCTGCCTCGCAGCCAAGACTTGCCAGGTGGTGGGGGACGCGCTGCAAGAAGCCGGGCAGCGCTACAAGAAGAGCAACATGCTCCTCGGAGAAAGAACGAAAGCTCTGGATGGCTGGATGGCTGTGAGACGAAGTCTTCGATTTGTTCTTTTGGGCGGAAAGCCGTAGAGGAGCCGGAGCCCTTCATAGTTGCCAGTGCAGAGACCTTATCGCGTGTTGTTTTCTCCCTCGCGGCCTCAGGAAGGACGTGGAGAAGAAGCTGAGCAAGCAGTACGAGCAGGCTCAGGAGCTTGCTGTGCCGTGGATGAGCTACTTCCAGCCATTTATCGACTACTTCTGGCAGGCGGGACAACTAGGCGCCACACGTAAGGCAATAGAGCTCACTGGGGTGTGATTCCAGCACATCGTTGGACGGGGCTTTGTGTTTTCACCTGTAACAGCTGTCAGATTTCAATTTCCTGTGGTGAGGCCTGGATTTGGCGAGGATTTCAGCGGCGTCTCATGGCCTCGAAAATCAGAGATATTCGAAATGAAATTCACGTCCCTGACGTGGCCCTGGAGGACCGGTGCGCTGCATTCGGCATAAAATCAAATATCAAAAGACCTGACTTGGCTTGATGGCTCTTCCATGATATCCTGTCCACGCAGGATGTCGCAGGAATCGGCAATGCGAAAACGGAAGCTCTGGAAATCGTGGAGTGCCTGATGGCGCCGGCAAGGCGTGGTTCTGAGATTGGCAAGGGGTGATTCCCGGAAGGTTGAGAATCTTTGTGTTTGGCACACTTTGACCTGCAATGTGCCGCAGTGAGACCGCTTTTGATGGCTGTTCTGTTGCTCCTTTGAACATGAGCAAATCTTCGGCCCCAGTCCCGGTTCCATCATACCGACCGCATAGGGGGGGGGGGGGGGGCACAAAAGACATGGATATGTTTCAGGGAAACCAACTAGCAGGGATACAGGGGGAACCAGGGATACGGGAGGATCCCCCTAAATGCACCTTGACTAAGTTTGATATGGGACATGGCGCCAAGAGAATCTCCCCATATCCCCGCTCCCTCCGTATCCCCACTTCGTTTGTCCAAATATTTGGATTTTCATTTATAGTTTCCCTTTGGATATAGTTTCCGTTTCTCTACACCAACTGAGCTTCAAACAACATTGGGACCAAGCCCCTTGGCAGGTTCGCCAGCTTGGGCGCTCGCTGCCCCAAGGGCCTGCTCCTCACCGGGCCGCCCGGCTGTGGCAAGACGCCGCCCGGCCGCAAGAAACGCGTCCAGCGGCACGGGGACCAGAGCCCTCAGGCGTTTCTCTGGTGCTCAGGTGCCTCTTTCCATTGGTCCATGATGTTTGTTGCATTTTGCCAACTTCAAGCTGAAGTCTATGTTCAACTGGGCCGGTTTCTGTGTGTGGTTGACGTCCAAACCCAGAAACTGTGCTATGCCGCTATGCCAGGCTTCTGGCAAAAGCCATAGCGGCAACTGCTGCGGTGCCATTCTTGTCCCGATCCGGCGGAAGCCCCAGCCATCAACATGTGTTTGTCAGCCTGGGCGCCTGGCCAGTGAACCAGGTGCTGACTTCAACGCCCGAATTGCGGGCACCGGGACGATTATGGTCAAGGACTTGAGATGTGCGATGAGAAACGCATGTCGCACGTGAAGCCATTTTGCCCTCCATAGTCTTTATGCTATGGTTCAAGGGTAGATGATGGAAAGCAGTTGCATCATTTGCATGCCAGAACCAACTCCATGGAGCATGCCCATGACCGACATTTGTACTCTTTGCTTGGGGGCTGCAGGAGCTGTTCATGACTGCTCGGCGCATTTCCCCGGCAGTGATTTTGATCGATGAGTGGACCCCTCAGCGGCGTGTTGCTTGAGCGCGGTGCCGGGTAGGGAGTGAGCCCAGGCTGGACTACATTGGCCGGCGGCGAGGGGAGGCACGTTTTTTCTTCTTCCTTTTCTCCGAAGGTTCACTTGAAGATTGCTTTGCCAGGAGCACGGTGGAGGGCTAGAGACAGATCGCTCAGCAGCCATAGGCTTAGAATACAGTCATGGATGTGATTGGAGGCTGCAAGATGAAATATTCAGCCCTTTCATAGGGCTTTTGTCCCGGTTTGCAGTGGGCATAGTTGCTACCAAGTGTAACGAAATCTGCTTGCAGGCCCTGACACAGCTCCTCTCTGAGATGGATGGGTGGCGCCCGCCGAGTTGCAAGCGATGGCGACAGCTGTCGCATCGTTGGGACGAGATGAGCGCGCGACACATTGCCAGGTTCGGCTCGGCCGAAGGTGTGGTGGTCATTGGGACGACGAATCGGCCAGACATCCTGGACAAGGCCGGAAGTCTTCGCTGGAGACTTAGCACCTTTGCAGATTCCAGGCTCTTACACGCCCCGGCAGGCCTGGACTGGGGCATGGAATTGGCAGGGCGGGTCCAGGTACCTTCATGTTCTGAGGTTTCTGAGGCACCTGAAATTGATGACCGCTCAATAGGCATTTATTTCACGGGTGCTAGAAAGGGAGGTGATTGGCGGAGTTGGCATTGGGTTGGTTTAGGGTTTAGGATGTGCTTGCTTGCCTGTATGGGCCGTGCTGTGCACATCAGGATTCAACTGATGGAAGGAGGTTTGGACAGTCAGCGAACTCTTCAGCAGCGACTGTGTAGTTCTTGGCGACCTGCTTGCATGCCAGCAAGGCTTGCTGGGCAAGCCAGCTGATTGATACATGCCCAAAGTGGAACCGCCGAATCCAAGTGAGGAGGTTTAGTGTTTTCAGCGCAGTATTTCTCAGGAGTGGTTGGGCTCAAGGGTGTGTATTTGTTTGTCATGCACGTTGTGTATAGGAAGCGTATATGCGATTATCATTGTCGCATCAGTCATGTTCGCTCTAGGCTGCGTGTGTTCCTCACGCTGTTTGGGGTATCCTGAACTCTCTTGGTTGGTTCCTTGTTTTCCAGCTTCTCTCAACCGCCCTTGTGCGGCATGGCGCAGATGTTGAAATATAGCCGCGTAGCCCATTCCACCTGAATCGACTTGGGGCTCCGGGTACAAAGGTGCACACCGCACCAGTCACGTCAAGAGATCGATCCGCAAGTGGCCTGATGCATGGCTTGCTCCCCAGCTGGCCAAGGGCCCACCTTTGAGACTCCAAGCACATAGACACAGCCCTAAGCCCCTAAACCTCTAAACCCCTAAACCCCTAAACCCCTAAACCTCTAAACCCCTAAACCCCTAAACCCCTAAACCCCTAAACCCCTAATCAAGCAAGCTGGCGCCGAAAGCCAATGCCTGTCAGGTTTGACCGGAAGGTGATTGTGCCGCTTCCAGATGTGCTCGGCCGCTACCAGATTCTGAGGACGCGGCACTAGCGAAGTCACGCTGAAGATATGGCTGTGGGTCAAAACCCTGTACCTCTGGTGAACATCAACATAGGTGGCAAATGGATGTTCATGCACCCCAAAATGGGATCGCCATAGGTTATGCCCCACCATATTCCTGCGATGCAGGGTGCTTCTTGTGTTGGACATGGCGCAGGAAGCACGCTCGTCGCCTGGTGCTGGAACAAGATGGTTCCAAACTGAGCCCGGGCCTTGTTTTCGTGGACTCAAATGGATTCCAGCCGCTCTTTGCTGCTCAGCTGGAGTGGAAGCAACGGCGCCGGCGCGGCCCTTGGCCCATCTGACATTGAGAAAGTCAGATCCCTCTGTGGAAAGAAGCCATGTTGATAAGAGATCCATGTCTGCAATGGTTGAAAGCTGAATCCAGCTCCTCCCGGACGACCGGACGACCAGCCACTCACCGCCCCTTGCGACTTTGGTCGTGTTTTGCACCGACGGAAGGACTGGATGGCCTGGGCGAAGCGCACCATGGGCTTCTCGGGGGCGGATTTGGCCGGCCTGGTGAACGAGGCGGCCATGGCGGCGGCGAGAGAAGGCGGGGGTATGGCTCGGGGACCGCCTCGACGCATTCGCCGATTTTCGGCGGCGTGGGTCATGTTGCTTCAACTTGGCGGGCTCCTCAAGTGAGCCACAATCAACACCCGGGTGGATGAAGGTAGTTAAGGGCCAGTCCCAGCCAGAAACAGCTGCGGCCGACTTTGTATTTCCTTACATTGATTTGGGGCGACCATTTGAATACCGGGTTTTGATCGTGACTCAAGTTGACTCCTTGCTTTTCTTTCAAGGGCCTCTGAGGCGCGTCCGCGGTGGGCGAGCGCCATCTGCAGGAGACGCACTCAGAGTTGACGTGTGTCAGATGTAAGTTGTCCCTAAGACGCTTATCAGAGGAAACAGTGGTAAATCTGCCATTTGCAGCATTTGGCTGCTCAGGTTCGCAAATCATGTGTTGCTTCAACATCCCCCAAAAAGCACCCATGGAGACAGATGGGTTTTTCACTGTTTCAGGAGCTGTCAGCACTGCTTGGCATTCCAAGGTTGCCTACAGCAAGGCGTTGATTGGGCTTCCCTCTGGGTGTCGGGCTCAGATCTGCACAGCACAGCGACAGAGTGAGAGATATGATTGGGCGTCTCCCAAAATTGAGAACCCCCTTTTGGCGTGCAAAGGTAAACCAGCCAAATGAGGATCGCTTGGTTATGGGTGAGGCGTCATCAGTCCGCGGCGGAGCTCAACGTCACAGCTTTCCATGAGGTGCATGCCGGCTGGCAGAGGGTAATCTCAGTGATGAGAGCTTGAAAGGCTGGCCACGCAGTTGTCAATGAGGCCTGAGCTTCCTACAAGTTGATCATGTTCCAACTTGTTAATCCGGCAGGTCATGCGGATTTCACTGGGCGAATCAGGCGAGACAGACTTGTTGCACCGATTGCTTGCCCAGCGCTGCAGAGCTGGTGGCACTTGTTCAGCTGAGATGGGGCGCTTGCGAGAGCGCTTGCTAGGCATACATGGCTTCCGCACAGTGGCTCACATCAGCATTGTGCCAGCAGGCTTGATGCATTGATGTGGGTATGGTTCAAAATTAAACAGTCCATGTTTCCACTTACCAGGGTTCAATTTTGGGTACCTATTTTGGACCCACAGCCATGTGTCTGTTGTGCGCTTTGCTTCATTGGGCTGCGGCCTGTCAGGCGGTACAGGTGGGGTGACGCAGTTTGCGGATCCCGACGAGGCGCGCGGTTTGCCGAGGCGACCGCTGTGCGCCACGCAGTGCGCCACGCAGTGCGCCGAGGCGAAGCGCCTCCCTCAGTCGCGGCGGGTGCTGCTTGCCATGTTGGCGGTTGACATGGGCGGACGTGCGGCAGAGGACGCCGCGACTCGACTGGTCAGTCCCACGAAGTGGAGAGCTGGTTTTGCCGCAAGCGGCGTGTTGGAAACAACGCTTTCATGTTTCTGCTGGTTACATAGGTAACTTGCTTGAGCATTTGGACATGATGCCACCTTCCACATGGCGATGCGTGATGTGCGGGAGGGCGTCCCATTGCTCGACGGGAGGAGATCTTCCTGGGTCAGGGGCAGGCCACCATGGGAGCCTCATCTGACATTGACGAGGCGACGCTTCGTTGATACGCCGGGAGGAAAGTTTGTTCCAAGCCTTTGATGAATTCCGATCTCCCACATTTTCCCGCGATTCCTCCCAATTTTTCCTGAACAACTTGTGACTCCAACCCGTCCACGAAAAGTGCCCCTTGGGTTTGGACAACCGGCAGAGCACCCGCCTCCTTCCGCCCAGAGAGGTGGCCCCCCACGGCCAGGCCACTCGACTGGCCACGCAGATGGTGGCGGCCGGCGGTTTGTCCGCCGCGGTGGGGCCTAGGTCCCTGCAAGCAGGCGTGTCGCCCTCCCAGGCGGGGACGAATTGGTGGGAGGTGGGCTGAATTTTTGGACGGGAGTAAACCGCCAAGCAATTGATCAGGGGTCCCGGTGCAGGAATCCCCCCTGATTCATGGCAGGGCGAGAAATGAGGGGTCGGCAGGCGCACAATGACACTGTTTGGAAACGGAGCCTTTGGTGGAGTGGTTGCCCTTCGGTTAAACGTGTCCAATGCTAGAGATATGCATGAGCTGATTTAGGCCTGCAATGCAACAGTCAGCACGGCGGAGAAGTGACTGGCAAGGATGAGTTGGACCACAAAGGGTGCCAGTTTCGGGCTCGGGAAAGAACCAGGTTCCCTTGATGCTCGCATTCATTTCTGAGCACCCAAAACAAGCCGTCATGGGAACTCGAGCTGAGAGGGCGGAAGAAGCAATCCGTTCAGGCTCTCCTGTCCGAAGTGGACGGAGAGGCGCGCGGCCTTTTTGCGAATCGGAGACCCGGTTGGCAGGTTGAAACTGATGCGTGTTGCTGGAGCACACGAATTCAACCCGTTTTTTTTGCAGGCCTTCCGAGCCTCATGTTGGATGCGTGTCAGGTGAAGCTCATCCTGGATCAGGCGAGCCGAGCGCGGGGGATTCTGGGCCGTTTGAGCCACCGAGCGACTGGCGCCCGACCGGCCGGGGCCCGGGGCCAGGCCCTCACGGCGGCGCGCACAGCGCTGGCGCGCAATCGTGCGCTTCATGCGGCTGTTGCAGAGGCGGCTGGTTTGGGCATGGGGGGGGGCCCATGAACTGGCCGTGAAGTCTAGCGCGTGTTGCAAGAGGTGCTGATCAAGCATGAGACACTGGACGGAGAGGCCGTTGGAGTGAAGCTTTGCGTCGTGCAAGCATTTGACGCATGCAACGTTGACATAGTGCAGCTCCTTCTGCCAGATGTTGCCCAGGAATTCCAGCGTGTGATCGGGAAATTCCCCGTGAAGCCAGTGCAATTGCCAGGATGAGGAAAACACTGTTGGTATCGCACATGCACCAGGAGGAATGGCCGGAGGGGAGAGAGCAATCTTCTAGGCAAACATTTCAAAGCGAGGCTTGCTCGCAGGGAATTTTAGCACATATGGCCACATCTTACATGCCGAACTGTTACTGTAGGGCCCGCACAGATAGGATCCTGCGCAAACCCTTTCACACGCTGTTAGCACGTGTTGGGCTTTTGCTTTAGCCGAACACTTGCAGTTCGCCACGACGGCTCAAGCTCTCGAATTAGCAATGCCTCAAAATGCCCGGAGTGTTTGAAGCGCTTCTGGCTCTTCCACCAACAGCCACACCTCAAGCGGTTCGCCGAGTGCTGGAACCTGAACTGGATGTGCTGCTTGCCGGAGCCTCGGAACGCCAAGGTTTGTTGCGCCGAAAAATTGGAGCTACCGCCTTCCCTTGTTCATAGGTGTCCTTTTTGGTGGTTTTGGTAGAAAAATAGATGGCCCTGGTTTTCCTGGTGGTTTACTCATGTACCAGGGCCATCTATTTAACCTAAAAGGACAGCTGTGCCCTTGTTTCGCCTCAGGCCGAGCCCAAATTGGCCACCACGCTCTTTGGACAGCTCGGCAAAGCTGGCACCTTGGTATGGAAGCAACGTGGCTCTTTGGCCCGTCGGAACCCTGCGGTAGAGAGGCGATCGTCAATCTAGGGGCACTGCTTTTCCCCAGCCACTGTTCGAACGGCAACGTTTTTTTTTTTCCGCAGAGACTCGAGGAGGCACTCGGATTCTGCTTCCCAAATTTTGGAGGATGTTTCTGAATAGTTCGGGGTAAGACTCTTACAGGTGCACTCATGTTGCGATGAACATCAGTGAAGACATCCCTCAGCTTGCGGTGCAATTGCATTTTTCCGCTCGCCCCGGTTCAGATCAGACGCTTGTTGACGAGGCCAAACTTGTGCTAGTTGCCGAAAATGACTTGGCCACCTGAAGGGAGTTTGAGGGGAGACACTTGTTGCGGCACTCAAATCAGAGGTTTCTCACTTACCGCTCCTGCCCCGGAGCACATTGGCAGTGTTATTAAAAAGTTGGGTGACTTTCACGTCGTTCCTCTCGCGTCACTTTGAGGATATAGTAATACGGTGACGGTCCTTGCTTGGCCGGGTTGTTTCCGACTGGTGGATTGCCCCTATTTGGGCATTTGTTGGGGTAGCAACCCATGGTTTTACCGGGGCAAATCCCGGGCAAGCTGAGGCCATTTACAGGTCGCCGGCCACGTCTTGCGCAGCTTGCAGCTTGCAAATGCCGCGCCCAACGCCTTTCACTATGGAGCCATGTTGGCAGTGCCTCAGACAGACTCGGGGTGTATGGTGGGCATTGATCTTGATCAGGGACCCTTTGGTGGACATGAATTTTCTGGGCATTTACGTCCACCCTCCACCTTTGGAGTGGTTCCCATGATCTGTTTTTGAGAAACTGACGGAAGCCCATCATTTGGCGAGAGGGCTCCTGGTACATATTCCTGCGCAAGGGGAACGTACCGTCGGAATTAGGAGCAATTCAATGAATCTGCCCTTCTCACATTCCTTTAAACTTTTCCAAAAGAGGCTGCCTTGTTTTGACGTGCCATTTTCATCATCTCTTGAACATGAGCATGACAGAGTACGGGTACACTTGCCAACCTACAACTACCCATCCCACTCCCAGAGTAGGAACCGGAATAGGAGAGCCTCATGTTGGCATCTGAAAGGAAGCCAATGTCTACGGTAGCAAAGCCACAAGCGAAGAGGCCCATTCTTGCACTCAATTGCTGCAGGTTGTTTGAATGCAGTGAGGCAGGTTCTTGATGGATGGAACTCGCGCTGATTGCAATGCTACCGCAACAGTTGGCCCTTTGCCGGTTTCTGAGATCGCCCTCGGATTCGCTTGCCGTTGGGCCACTGAGGCATGTTCCAGAAGCGCGTCTTCTTCAACGTCTGCTTGGAAGCTAGCTTTGGAGCTCTTTCAGGCAACGGCATTGGCAACACGCATCGTGCTAGATTTCTCAGATGTCAAAGTGCCAGCTCTGCCAGGAAATGGAGGAAAATGGCGTGCAGCAAAGTGCCATTTGCTGCAATGCAGCCATCAGTGCCTGTGATAGAGCTGGGCAATGGCAGCAAGCTCTGACCCTCTTGTATCGAAGCTTGCTTTGCTTTGTCAAGACCGTTCTGATTTGAAGAGGCTCACTACTGCTTGATGCAATGTTTTATGACAAATCCGACTCTGTGCCGAGGAATGCCGGCAATGAGCGTAGCAGCGAATGAGCCCATCAGATGCACTCAAACCTTCCATGACGGTGCATCGGTACATGTTGTTTTCTTTCTGCGCCGTTTGCTTGCCATGCCCTTTGAAAGTGCAGG